AATACAACCCCTATCAGATCGAACGCAACATCTCAATGGCACACCATCGTAATTTAGTTGAGAGTTTAGGGTATAACGGTAGTTTCAAATCTGAAATTATTCTCCTGATGCCACGTCGGATTTTATATACGCCTCAGTTCTCTCTCTCTCATCTTCTACCAAATCCCTAATTTCTCTCCCAAATCGCTCTCTCATCAATCTCTATCAAATCCCTCTCTGTCTCTTCTCGGTTTCTCTCTAATGGCGGCGGCGAAGAATCGAATTGCTTGCGAATTCTACAGAGGAGGTTTAGGTATTTGCTATAAGGGAGGAAGGTGCCCGTATAGTCACGCAGCGTGCTTTCCCCACCAACCCGAGGACAATCGGGGTTTGGTGGGCGAGAAGCTGCTTCAAGAGGCTAAAGGAGATGAATCGAGGTACAGAGATATGAAAGACAGGATGCTGGACTTCATGCGAAGCAACATATCGGCTAAAGATTTCATGGACCAAGCGGATGCATTGGGGTTGAGACACAAGATTCCGGAGATCGCCGCTAGTTTTAGCATTCGATACAGGGCAAAGTACGACGAAATCCTTGAGGCTATGAAGGAGGGTTCGAAGAATAAGAAGAATGGCGTGGAAGATTGTGGGAGAAAGACATATAAAGATTCAAAGAACAATCTGGAGACGCGAACATTGAAGTTCGTAGAGGAACCAACACAAAACTCAGAAAAGAAGAAACAGGAATCGTCTATTTGCCGTATCTCCAAGAAGAAAACCTCACTATTGTCAAAGGTTTGATTTTTTTTTCTTCTACGTGCGAGAACGAAAATTTGGGCTTGTCTTAGATTTGGTGTCATGTTGTGTGTGTGTTTGTATATTCACAGAATTGGTGTCATGTTGTGTGTGTTTGTATATTCACAAAGTTTGGGCGTTACAGGGGCTTGTCAATCTCGGCAACACTTGTTACCTCAACTCCACGCTGCAATGCTTAAAAGCTGTCCCTGAGCTGCAATCTGCATTATCCAGGTCAGTTCAGATTTTTCACTGTTTTTAAGTCAATGTACTTATGTCATACAAGCAATTTCCTTCCTCTTAATAGGTACTCGCTTGCTGCACGAGGCAACAATGATATTGACCACATGCTCACCGTTGCCACACATGTGTTGTTTAGTGAGCTCGATAAAAGTCTCAATGCTGTTTCTCCTACGCAATTCTGGATGGCTAGACTCTGTCCATATAATACTTTGTAACATTTTATTTCTCTGTTGCCTTCACTTGCCTTGACAGAATCCAAATTGTGGGTTTGAACATAACCGTTTGCAAATAATATAAATAGATAACCATAGGGGCTTGTTAGAACCTCATCTCATGCTTTGGTCTTTGTGCAGATTTTTCGGAAAAAGTATCCTCAGTTCAGTCAGATGGAGGATGGAATCTATATGCAGCAGGTATATTTCTTAGTGCAAATTTGGTTTCATTATACTTTAACCCACAGTTTGTGAACGCATCCTATTTATTTGTCAAATAGGATGCTGAAGAGTGTTGGACTCAGCTTTTACACACTCTATCTCAGTCTCTAAAAACACCAACTTCGAGTGAAAATCATGATGTTGTGACTATTCTCTTTGGTCTCAATCTTCAGAGCAGGTACTTGTGCAGATTTCGCATTTCAATTCACATGTGGCTGACTTTATAGATCGCTTATTGAACTTGTTTTATAGTCTTATGGATCTGTAATCTGTTAACAGTCTACATTCTTTCTGTAATTTACGATTTGGAAAACTGTGGTCAATGCTTGAGATTTTTTAGTTTCAGCATTTTACTTAGAACAAGGATTAACCTAGGTGTGCTTGAAAATGTTACAGACAATGTTGCGATATCAAACTGCATGTGTGTAGGTGTGTCTGCATGTATCAAATATTTGTTGAGGGTTTACCTACAGAAGAAAAAAAAAAGTAGAAATTTTTGCTGCCGTATTTGTTCATGTGAAATTGGCAACTGAAGATGGGAATACTTGAGTGGTTTTTTTTTGTATCTTGCTTCTGTTGGCTTATAATTGGTTTCTGTGCTGTAGGTTGCATTGTCCTGAAAGTGGTGAAGAAAGCTCGGAGACAGAATCTGTATATGCACTTAAGTGTCACATATCACATGAAGTGAACCACATGCTTGAAGGATTGCACATTGTGAGCAACTTTTAGAATTCCAATATATATTTGTTTCTGATTTTTGCTTCTGCATAGTAAAACAAGGACAGCGTTTACTTGATGTTCTGCATATCATAATATCTTGGATTTATTAGCTAAGACTGTCCCCCATGCTTCTGGTTTACTCTAGGGACTGAGAGAGGAGATTGCAAAGACATCGCCTTTGCTGGGTCGTACCGCGCTTTACCTCAAGGAGTCCTTTATCGAGTACTTGCCAAGGTAATATTGCTTCCTACTTTAATTGCACACCTCAGATCTCTGTAATCCTCTTGTGGCATGCTTCATATTTAGCTTGTGTTTCTTTCTATTCCTAGCTATTTGACTGTTCAGTTTCTGCGATACTTCTGGAAGAAGGAGACTTGTCAGCAAGAAAAGATTCTCAGGGTACGTTTTTATATCTTACGTTTTTATATCTTAAGCGAGAGTCCGGGTTCTCACGTCTCTAATTTGTCTCTGATTTGTTAATTGTTGCAGAAAGTGGATTTGCCACTTGAGTTGGACGTTTTTGAATTGTGTACAGATGATCTTAAGAAGACACTCACCCACGACTCAAAGGGCAGTGATGTTGGTAGAAAAACTGGGTTGTATGATTTGGTATCTGTTTTGAGCCACAAGGGCAAGACTGCAAACACAGGCCACTATATGGCATGGGTCAACAAAAAGCAGGGTGAGTTCTTGTCTCTCTTTAGTTCTCTATCTCTCTTTAGTTCTTTGTCTCACACAAACTTAATATCTAAATCTTTACAACAAAAAATGCAGTTGGATGGGTCTTTTATGACGATCATCGCTCAAGCCTCAAGAACAAAGAAGATTTTATGAAGCTGCTCTCGGGTGGAGACGATTCACACGCCTACATAGCCATGTACAAGGCTCGGGTTTCTTCTCATTAGTGATTTGACTGTCTAGTTGATTTTGGATTTTGTTAGTATATTTTTTAAGTACTTGTTCGCATTAGAAATCTCATTAATCTTCAACAACATTTTAGCTTTTTCTTATAGCTCAATTTTTTGTTTAAATTCAATGTATACCTTAAGAAACAATCTCAAGCTACAAATTGTGTTTAAGATAGCAAAAGCAGATTGTTTCTTGCTAAAGATTTTCATTCATGAGAAAAAATGGAATTGCTACTACTATTCAAAGGATAAATATGAAAAGGCAAGTCTTGACGACAACTTTTATTGCTAGTTGCTTCAAGCTCTATTGGCAACATCAGTGTCCCCTTCGAGATTTCCTTCCACTGATCCATTCAACATCTTTGATCGTCACACTGTTCTCCATGCTTCCAAATTGAGCCTCACCACCTGACTGGCCACCAAGACCATACTGAGAGGTGTTGCCAACAACCCAAACTGGTTGCTACCGTAAGTATTGCCACTGCCATAACCACTACTGCCACTATAGTCAGCAATAGCACCTGCACCGGCCCTTGAACCTTCACCAAAACTAGTAACTACTGCTGCTAGAATCAAAGCCACTGCATCTACCACTAGTAGCACCGCCTCCAAAAACATTCAGCTACCAAACAAAATTATACAACTTAGCTGCCACCATTTAAATCATCGGAAGAAAAAACTTTTGTGTGCTTAAGGTTCATATTCCGCATATACAAACGAAAAGAAACAGATATAACTCCAGAACTCTAAGCAAAACCACACTTCTACGCATTTATCTTATGACAGAGGCAGATAATTCCCCTCCAATTCCTGACTGTTGTAATTTAGAGATCGGAGAGACTAATAAAGAATAGGCTAAAGAAGAAACTTTGAAACAACCAGA